CTTCGTCTAAACCCCATCTTCTTCGTCTGTGTATGGTTGGGACTGGCGCAGTCTTCCTGTGTGAAGCGCCAGACCCCTTCACACCATGGAATGATGATGATGATGTATGTTTGGGGCTGCATTGCAATATGGATTGTTCGGATCATTGGTATCTAAGTCTTCCGCTGTGCTATTTTATACTTTGTATTGAAAGGTCGGTTCTTGTTCTGGTCTGCACCTATACGGTATGCAACATCTGCCCTTGCCCTCTCCTAGCCTTGTCCCATCTGTCCTCTCCACTACCTTGTCTCTCTTGTCCAATGCTTGTGAACTTGCGTGACGCCGGCGATAAAGGATCTAATGGCAAGCGCACGAGGACGATGGCCTGCTGTCTCACTGTTCATGGAGATTATGCAGCTGGTTTGGCCACCATGCTGTTTCATTGGCGGGCATCCCGACTAGCGGACTTACTGGAGCAGCAACTCGTGATATGGATCTTTGCATCGGTCTGCGACTTCCTTGCTTCCCAGATCAGACCTCATTGCAGTTCGTGTACCGGACGCACCCTAGCACTTGGACCTTGACACTTGAACTACTACTACGCTTCTTGGACTTCTACCTATCGCAGCTGCTGAAGACCGCTGCAGACCCCCTTTCAAGACACTTGGACACTTTGTTCCTACATGAGATTCTGCTTCCGACTCCTTCGGACACACCAGCCTTCGCATCCTGAACAAACATTTTCATTTTTATTTTTCCTGACTTTGACAACCCTGTAGAACGTCATTAGCAGATCCCTGTTTCCCTAACCATTGTCCCCCTTACCCACTAGAACATCAATAGAAATACCCTGTTTTCCTGAACACCGTTTCCCTTACCCAGTAGAACATCAATAGAAGTTCCCTTTTCCCTGAACTCTGTTCCCCCTTAACCTATAGCGAACCATGCAGTCCCCTTAGTCCATCAGTAGGACCACCCTGCTCCCTATCTTCCCTTTARTTCATTTGTCGGACTACCCTGTTCCTTCCAACCCCCCCTAGTTCATCAGTAGGACAACTCTGTTCACCGGTACCAAACCCTGTTCCCTCTTACTCCCGCAGCCCATGCCACCCACATTATACCCCTCTTCCCTTTCGACTTGTTTACCAGTGATCGGCCCCGTCCCTTTCTTCACAGATTTCAGCATTGCTTCATGATTTTTGGCAGCCGGGACGTTGCCTTCTAGAGGGAGGGGATAGTGTTACGGACTTCGCCAGGGCTCGATCCCTGGTCTATCTTTTTGCTGTTTCAGCTGCATCCCGTTTTCGGCCTGGCACCCTTTTTCCAAACCCTTCCTTTGGTACCGTAGGATTTTGGACAACTGGCGCCATGCTGCAATTCGGGCGCCACTTTCAAATACTGCATTTTTCAGTTCTGCCCTTGGGCCTTTGCAGAAATGCCCCTAGTACCGTACGTGTCACCGGTACTTATACCGGCTCCCCGTACGGTACGGGGACCAGTCTCGTACAAGTTCTCTGCTGCTGTACTCGTACTCAGTGTGACTTGCTGTTTTCGGCATTCGGGGAATCCAAGACTTCGACTTTGTGCCTTGCCACTGTGTCTGCGTCCGATCCTCAGTCCGAGTCCGTCGTGTCGAGTGAGTGAGTGTGTGTGTGTGCTCTCACTCTCCCCCTCTCTCTCCTCTCCCTCGGCTCACCCTCAGCCTCACGCTCGTTACAGCTCCCATATTCCACCCAGATGAGCAGAACCAAAATCAAAGCATATTCAATCCTGTTACAGACAACGAAAACCCCTGAGTTCGAGACAATCCAACAATGAAGCAGTTTCACCTCTCTAGCAAGCAACATGTGTGTGTGTGTGTGTGTGTGTGTGTGTGTGTGTGTGTGTGTGTGTGCGGTTTTTTTTTTTTTT